TGTGTGTGTGTCAGAGAGAGAGAGAGAGAGAGAGAGAGAGAGAGAGAGAGAGAGAGATGCAGTATTTTGTTTCCAAATTGAAATAGTTCAGAAGAGATAGGATCTTAGAAGTTGGGTGGGAAGAAGGGATCTCTGAGGTAGGAAAAATCGTGTGTGTGTGTGTGTGTGTGTGTGTCAGAGAGAGAGAGAGAGAGAGAGAGAGAGAGATGCAGTATTTTGTTTCCAAATTGAAATAGTAAAGACTGAAATGTTTCTAAGAACACCTCAAATTATTTCTTAATTTACTAGGAAAATTAAGTCACTCAGATGGATAGAAACTAATTAATAAAAAGGGATGAGGACACTGAACAGTATTTAAAGAGAAATCTCTTAGCCATTCTGTACAGTTGGTGAGGGACCAACTTTAGAGTCTCCACGGTGGGGATACTTTTCATACACTATGTTTTCCTTTCCTGAGCCAATTTCAAGATTATGCTTCTTTTGGTATAAAAAATAATGATGACAATCTTGGTGAGAAGGAAGATAGCCAGAGAAACATTTTAATGTGTAAATCAATCTGCCATAGTTGCCTTGCAAATGGATTTATTTTTCCTGTCAAATGTGATCATTCAAAATGTTGGGGGAGTAGTAAAAAACTTGACAACTGTTTTTTTTTTGGTGCCTAGCTAGTATAGGGATCAAACACTGGACCCTGGTGTTATCAGCACTACGCTCTAACCAACTGAGCTAACTGGCCAGCCCAGAATATATTTTACATAAAAAAAAAAAATATATATATATATATATATATATATATATATATATATATGTCTGTTAAAATTTTATTCTGATTGCTTGAGCTACGATGTGTTGCCAGGTTTTACAGACTGTGTTTGGGGTGCAACTATTTTCAGCAAGTCAAATAACATTGAGAAACAATCTACACAACTACAATGATGGCTACAGCCCTAAAATGTTAAATTTGGATAATTTGTTTGAGTTCTGAGAAAAGGGGAATAGCTCAAGGCCTCACACTTTGAAGAGTGCTTAAACCACTAAGAAAAGAATGCACACTGTCCTTTCACGCTTGTACGGGGGCCTTTTCAGAGGCACCTGTGCCCACAGACCACAATCACCGCATGATCACCTTCAGATACAGAGGAGATGTCAAACATTCGTGTAAAATATGAACATGTGAAGCCACACATGAAATTAGAAAGAAACCATGTCTCCTCCCACGGGAGGCTCAAATATCCTGGAAATGTTTTAATGAGAGAGCTAAGTGCAGATGACAAGGATAGGAAAACTTTGCCAAAGGAGAGCACAGCATGACAGCTCTTATTTATCTCATCTTTTCCCCTTGTACTAAGACCTCCTACTGAAACAGAATGTCATTGGGCAGATTTCTACATTTCTGGGTTTCAGTCACAGACAGTAAAAATAAGAGAAATACTAAACAGAAAGACATTCTAGTGCAATAAACTATAGAAGAACTAATTCATCAAGGTCCAGAGCCAGAGAAATTTGAAGGAACATCTGTCAGTGTGGATCAGCCAAATCCTTCATTTCTGGATTTGATCTTATGTTTCTTTATACGTAGTGATTTATGGAAAGTCTACGTTAAATGGCAGATCTGCATTTGGAGATGTTCAATTTTACACTATATTATGAACATCCATAGTCTTTCTATCTCTAAAAATTATTGCTAGTCTTTGAAAGGAAAAACAGATTCTTTTGTTAGTATGCTCCCAGGAGATAAAATCAGCACTGGTAATCTCTAACTCTAGGTTTTTCTGTTAGTAAAAACAGCCCTTAACTGAGGGGTAAGTAGTCTGTTTTTTAAGACACTCTGAGGGGCCGGCCTGGTGGCGCACTGGAGAGTGCGCCGCTTGTGAGCATGGCGGCCCTCCCGCCGAGGGTTCGGATCCCATGTGGAGACTGGTTCCCGCTCACTGGCTGAGCGCGGTGCGGGTGCAACACCGAGGGTTGCGATCCCTTTACTGGTCAGTAAAAAAGACAAAAAAGGAAAAAAAAAAAAAAAGACACTCTGAGACTAGGAATTGGAAGGCACACTCAAGCCAATTTTGAGACATGTCATTTTTGGTTGTTAAAAGACATTAAAAGTTTGAGGTGGCCTCTGGGTGGAACTAATATTTTGCTTACAGGCATGCCAGTCCTGAGTACTGCCTCTGTCTATTCTGACACTAGGCACCTGGAATCCACAGGAAGAGATTCACATAGCAGCTGCAACATGGACCGATAAAATTAACAATCATTATGTGGTTATTACTGTTGCTGTTGTTTCTAGGGCTACTATATCTTCTTCCTTGGTCTTAAAAAGTACCCATCCATCATGGTACATATTTCTCTTAAAAACTTAATTTCATTTCACTACTTCAAGTGTAAGAACATAAACCTCCTTACGTCAACACAAAATGTCTACTACTTGATATTTCTGTTTCTGTTCCATTTTTCTCCAAAAGACTTCAATTAGTTAGCAATTAGGTTAGTATCATACAGAATTTTACTTTATTTTAAAATGATACATGCCTTCAAAAGCTGTATATATCTATATGTATATATCTATACATATATACACTATATACATAATATCTGTATATAAATACATGTCCACATATATACATATAGCTGTAATTTGCTTCACTGTAAGGTTAACACACACACACACACACACACACACACACACACACAAAGTACACATACTTTGCAACCCAAAAAGCTGAAAAGTAGAGATTTAAGACGTTCTTACACACACACGCACACACACAAAGTACACATACTTTGCAACCCAAAAAGCTGAAAAGTAGAGATTTAAGACGTATTTTGCATTCTATTGTTTCAAGCTTAGACTAAGACATGGCAATAAAGGTAAGAAACTTTATTTTTAAAAATCAGGCCTATATATCTTTTAAAATTCCCATGTCTCATTTTAAATTGAAACCTGACTTTAAAATTTCAAATTATAAACAATCCTCTCATATCTCTTGATTGTTGTAACCACATTTGGCCCAGTAGCTCTAGAAAGCTCTAGTAATTAAAGGTTTCATTTTCCCTTTCCAGTCATATGATTTAGAATGACACAAGACAGAAGAATTTTTATTTAGCTCTTAAGTACTGAAATCAATAAGAAGGTTAAGACTTTTTATTTATAGTAGTTTGTAAATTATTATTTCTGAGTATGAATTTAAACTAAACTCCAGCTTGAGTACATCTTTATGGTTCCAAACTTCCAAGAATTAATCTTCCTAAATATTATCTTTGCTGGGTGTTAAGAGTAAGACAACTCCTTTGGATGACATATAGCTTTAACTTTAACCTCAAAAATGTCTTTACTCCCATGATGAAGGGGGGGGGGGGGAAAATCACAAACTTATCTATGAATTGTTTTAAATAGTGTATTTTAATCATAAAAGTTCTAATTTTTAAAATGGTGGGGGAGGGGGAAGAAGAATGAAAAAGAAAGATCACAATAAAAAGCCTGGGCTAGCTCTGATAAAGGGTTAACAAGGCTATCATATCCTTCACATTTTCTTAAGCCTCTACTAAAGCTGGTTGCTGGACTGCCAAGTAATAGTAACTGATTTTTTTTTATAGTGTTCTAATCTATTTTGATTAATATGAAGAAGTAAAGGCTTCAACTACACGATTTCATGAATGATCAGAGTTCTAGTAATTGTCATGTTTTACACTGATTTGATCTGTTCAATAACCAAGGGAGAACAATCCTCATTAACTTACCTGGAATCTCAGGCTGTAAAGCAGGGAGCAGGCTACTCTGGCTCTAAGCCCTTAAGTTCTTCCCATACCTCAGGTTGTCTTGCATTCACATTTAATTATGTAATTTTACCTATGGCAGTGAAATTAGCTTCTTCATTTAAGCTAATGCTAAAATTAGTTTGCATGTCCATCTTCCTTGGTAACTTGGAAGGAGAACCAATCTTATGTCATGCCAGGTGACAAAGGGAGCAGTGTGAGATTAAAGGTATGCCTGATACGTGAAATGATGAAATCGTGAAAAGTGCATATATGTTAGGAAGAACTTAACAGGTCCAGCATGTCATGAACTTAATAAGAGGTAAGGGGGGCAGGGCACCACAGAGTGTGGCACTGAGTAGTAGTTCTGTAGGTTACGGGGAAAATCAGAAGTTCTGCTTTCCTCACAGTCCCTCTTAGAGAGCCTTCCAAAGTCTTTATTTCCAGAAACCAGAAGTCTAGAATGTGGCAGCAATAGTAATGCTTCTTAGTACCAAACTTTCATTTTGAACATAACATGGACAGTGATGGCAGAAGGGACACAACATCAAAGCAGCAAGACCCCAGCAGTCCTTCCTGCTGCCCTTCACCATCTGCCCATCTGTGAGCATGGCCTGGACGCATCCTGGCCTGCCATAGCACGCACATCTAGAGGTACACAGAAACAACCAGCAGCTTGACTCTCTCCTACCTACATGTGATGTAACTAAGTTGCCAGATGTTGAGTAAAAATAAAATCACACTGTATTTTACTGCTAGTATAAAAACCTAGTAAGATTTCAAAATTGGGGCAAGGTACAGGTCTTTCTTCAAATAGATTTTTTTTTTCCTTTTTATCTTTTTTACTGACCAGTAACGGGATCACAACCCTTGGTGTCGCGCCTGCACCGGGGACCGGCAACAGAATCGCAACTCTCGGTGTTGTGCCCGCACCGCGCTCAACCAGTGAGCAGGAACTGGTCTCCACATGGGATCCGAACCCTCAGTGGGAGTGCCGCCACGCTCCCAGGCGGCGCACTCTCCAGTGCGCCACCGGGCCAGCCCCCAAATAGATTTTTTTAAGGATAGGGAAAAGGTAGCAAATATTTAGTGCCGCCACGCTCCCAGGCGGCGCACTCTCCAGTGTGCCACCGGGCCAGCCCCCAAATAGATTTTTTTAAGGATAGGGAAAAGGTAGCAAATATTTAGGAATAAGGTTTCTGCTCACTTGACTAATGACCGCATTTCTAACACTTGTTCTTCTCTAGCTTGAGAATTACATCCAGGACAACATGAAGAAAGAGATGGCGGAGATGCAGCAGAATGCAGTGCAGAACCAGACTGCTGTGATGATAGAAATAGGAACCAGCCTGCTCAATCAGACAGCAGAGCAAACACGGAAACTAACTGACGTGGAGGCCCAAGTAAGTGCTGAAATATAGAACACAGAGCAGTCCAGCCACCTAAAAGACCAGCATCCAATCGTGCTGTACCCAGTGAAATAATGGAAAACTAAAGAAAGCTCCACTGCAAGAGAAAAGGAAACTTTTATAAGAAATTAAGAATTTATGGCTAGTTACGAATTTAAAATCAGTAAACATGTTTCCATTTTTGATACTGAGGTCAAATTACATTTATTCTATTAAGGACATTCAAGTTATTTCCATGTTACTCACACCTGACTACTATAAGATAAATGCTTCTCTGCCTCACCAGTATTTTCTGGACTCTAGATATTACTTTTCATTTCTAAGCCCTAAACTTTTTATGCATCTGAGAAATGAAAACCAGAGGCAGAGAGGTAGAAATTTTGTTCTTAAATCTAACTTGAGTAAAAGATAAAACCTAAATCTCAAAGAAGTGTCAAAACAGTCTGTGGTATGAGTTTGTAGAGGAAGAAACAACAGCAACAGGGAGAAGCTGTGTGCTGCGGCACCGACAAACAGGCCACAGCCACTAGCCACGAGCCCCGGAGTGGCTCCATGCCTCCTGTTAACTGGATGACTAAATATGGCAAGGCGTGTATCTTTTATAGGCCTCATGGTTTTAAATATAAAATGAGGGTCTGGGCCAGACAATTAATTAATTGCCAAGTTCTCTTTCAGCTTTAAGATTCTATGAGCCACTGACTAATAGTAATAGAAAAGAAGAAAATTAAATTATGAAAAAATGAAAATAACAGCAAAACATTAAAATATCAAAATAGTAATAAAAAAGTGACTCAATAAGAGTAGCCCACGTGGGAAGAAAGTGCTATTAGCAGAATTAATAGAGATGCTCCAAGTCCATGCCTGTAGTCTTGCCTCTCAACTGATGAGTCTAATTTCTGACCTTTGTATTCTTTATAGGCTTATGAAGTTAGCACCTTCCTACTCTGAACTATAAGTAATGCTTTTAAAAAAAAATGGGTAGATTTAATTGTAAATGATTCACACTACCTAATTTTCAGCTAAAAGGACCAAGAAATGCTAGACATCAGTCAGGAAGAGATGTGAGAAAAGAGAAGCCACAAGCCACCCTCTGATAAGACCACTTCTAGAATGGCACAGGTGTTCTTTCACTGTCTCTAAAAACTGCTGGAGAAGGGAAACAGTAGGGAAGTGGGAAAAGAGTAAAAGATTTTCATATGAGAATTGGAGATTTTTAATAAAGACTTTTATATAAATTATTTGATTACCAAATCTTTAAACAATATCAGAACATTTTAGGAGAAATATAAATAAATATTTTACAGAGTAGATCATAAGATACTAAAAATTTAATTCTAGGAGGTAATGAAAGTGAAAAATGAAAAGATACAAAATTTAAAAAGTAAATATATCAATATATCCACACCCAATTATTATTATTTTTTTCCTTTCTGTCTTTTTTTCGTGACCAGTAACGGGATCGCAACCCTCAGTGTCGCGCCCATACCACGACCGGCAACGGAATCGCAACCCTCGGTGTCGCGCCCGCACCGCGCTCAACCAGTGAGCGGACCGGTCTCTATATGAGATCCGAACCCTCGGCGGGAGCGCCGCTGCGCTCTCAAGCGCCGCACTCTACAGAGTGCGCCACTGGGCCGGCCCTCCACAGCCAATTATTGAACTAAATTAATAACAATGATTCAGTCACATTCCCCACCTTTTGACAGTAAAACTGGTGGGCAATAAGTTATAATAATACTTATAATTATTATTATTATTATTATTATTTTTTTGTCTTTTTCCGTGTCCGGCAACGGATTGCAACCCTCAGTGTTGCCCCCGTACCGGACCGGGACCGGCAACGGGATCGCAACCCTTCGGTGTTGCTCCCGCGCCTCGCTCAGCCAGTGAGCGGGAACCGGTCTGTATATGGGATCCGAACCCTCGGGCGGGAGCGCCGCCGCGCTTCCCAAGCGGCGTACTATCCAGTGCGCCACCGGGCCGGCCCCCTTATAATTATTAAATTAAATTAATCAATAATGATTCAGTCACATTCCCCACCGTTTGATAGTAAAACTGGTGGGCAATCAAGTTAACTCAAAAAATGTCCCATAATTATAACATTTCCTATGTTTTCAGACAACAGTAATAAAACAGTATGAAGATATACAGCAACAATATAAACTTTTGCCACATTCCATATCAGGCAGACTTACCAGCATTAATGTGCCTTTGTTGGGTTGCATGATTGGGAAAAAAAAAAAAAGCCTATTGTGAAACTAGGTATCAGATGACCCAGGATAACAGGAAAATAGGAAAAGGGGTAGATAGAAAACAGCCTATAAAGTCCAACTAAATCTATTAAAATGGCTGGGCCTAAGGAATGACATCAGGAGACTGAAGTATGTACACAATCCATATGAAGACATTTGCTGAACAGTTACTGATTCTATAAAATAGGTTTAAATTCAAATATAAAAATTTCTGACTAGAAGTAAGATTCTCCCACTTCAGACTAGAGACTATTAAATTAGACAGAGTGAGAGATTATTAAATTGTCAGAGTGAGAGACTATTAAATCAGGCAATGATGGATGGTTTGAGGTCTGAGATCTTAAAGAGAACAAAGAGAACTTGACCTGAATAATTTGGACAGTCACCTGCAGACAGAGGCCTTGAGGCCCATCGAATTGTAGGGCCCACTGCAATTACTCCCAGGTAAACTGGGACCCATATGTCATCCTTTCCTGCCTCTCTCCGAAACTGTACTCATTTTATAGCACTTAGCAATTAAATAGGAGATCCAATTTTGCAGATCCTTTTAGAAATAACCAACATAGGGGCCGGCCTGTGGCTCACTCAGTAGAGTGCGGTGCTGATAACACCAAGGCCATGGGTTCGGATCCCATATAGGGATGTCCGGTTCGCTCACTGGCTGAGCGTGGTGCTGACAACACCAAATCGAGGGTTAAGATCCCCTTACTGGTCATCTTTAAAAAAAAAAAAAGAAAGAAATAACCAACATAGAGTGTTTGGACCCAAAGGAGATGAAGGACAAATCTTTATTATAGATGTTAATACTAAAACCCAAACCCTTATGTTAGCCAATGACTTTATTCACTTACAGAAGAGTTTTCATGATACGAACTCAACCCTCCTTGACTAAGGACTAGACTATCCCTGAAACGCACACTGTGGGGCCAGACCAAGGCTTTTTCGAATGACATAAAGACACCAAGCAAACAATGATTTTTTCAAGGTCCCCAATTCTTTGGCAACAATTCTGACTTAAATTTACATATGATATCACATCCTGTATAACTGTGACACGGAGGATGTGAGTAATCGATTCTTCCTGCTAAAAAGCAGCCAAATGCTAAAGAATCTGTCTTTCAAGTTGCTTGAATACAATGGAAAAGTGATACTGCACATGTTAGGTATCAGAAAGGCCCGCAAAACAAAACCCAGTTTCCACTTTATGTTGACGTTTTATTGTTTCCTCATTGGTTGAGACAATTTTTAAAATAGCAAAAAGAAAAATGGCAAAGAAAAAATAAAAGGGTAAACAAGTGAATACAAACTAGGAAATGCCAGGCTAAAAATGAGCTTTCTTTTTATATAATGAAAGCGTGTGACTTCTAATCCCTTTGTCTACTGACAAACAAATAAATATGAGAATAGCATTTTGTTTTGAGCAGAGAGAAGGTATTTTTTCATTTATCAACAGTTTTGATCTATGAAATATAACTGTTGCATACTCCTACTTGTCTCGCAGTGTGAAAAGAAACAATAAAAACAGCAGAACCAGAAAAATAACATATTGTTTGGTACAAACACCATTGTCCAGAACTATTAACCTCTTTTCAAAATAAAGACAAGGTGGAGAAAAAGAGTTTAACATACTTGAGTGTGATCCAAGACATCAAACCTTTTTCAAAAATAAAAATATACCAAAATAGGACTTATGAGTTAATAAATGTTTTAGTTATGTTTTCTTATAATTTGGGTAATTTAATTAAAAGGAGTTATAAAATTAAACTAATTAAAAATGATAAATAGGAATTTCATTTTGTTACATTTAGGTATTAAATCAGACAACAAGGCTTGAACTTCAGCTTCTGGAACATTCTCTTTCTACAAACAAATTGGAAAAACAGATTTTGGATCAGACCAGTGAAATAAACAAATTGCAAGACAAGAACAGGTAATAACGGTACAAAAATATTTACAATTCAGAATTCTACACTTTCCAGATATGAAAGCCTATCTCACATGACTACTAATTATAATCATGGCTTCCAATATGATGAATTTCTTCATGTCTAACATAAGGATCAGAAACCTTGTTAGAGAAAGGAAGGGAGAGATTTCGAGAAAAATTACGAATTGACATGGACCTTCTAAAATAGTCCTCAATTTTGTTTTTCATTCTCTGGACCTTAAGGATTCTTTAACAGTAATCTAAATTCTGCCTCCACATTATGGATGGTCATCTAGAAAAAAAATAGTGCTAGTGTTGGGGAGTAAAAGTAACACTGGCCTAGTCATTTCAGTATTAATTTTACCAAGTTTCTTTGCCTTTGGGGACTTAGTTTCTCCCAATGCAAAATGATCTACAGTAGGGAAACTACACTTACAAGTAGGGAAACTTCTAAGCCAAGACATATTTCATGATGCAATACTTCCTCTCAAAACACATGCCAAAGTAAAAACAAAAGTTAATGCTAAATATGATTGCATTAATATTTAAATAAAATATAGAAAAACCTCAAGATACACAGTACCAAAATAAAAATTTTAGGTGATATGTAGGGACTGTCTTCATAGGTTTACTCCAGTCAGGGACACATGAAGATTATTTTATGTACATATCTGGTGTGCTTATTTCCTTGTTTTTAATCAAGACATGTACACACGACATAGAGAATGGTCATAACAATATATTCTTTCCAGTTCACAATTTAAATAATTCTTTATTCTTAACCAAAAATGATGATAAACTTATTGTCTTATAATCATTCCTTACTGTTAATCAAGTACTGAGCTGGAATAATTCTTTCTGTTCTTTGGGTAACAAGTTTAACTCATTATTGATTTAGGGTTTTGAAAAGCAAATTGTTTTTCTTAATTCAAATATTTTTCTTTTGTGTTTCAAATTACTCTTCTGCAAAGTAGTCAATAAAAGCTTGAGACCAATAATTGAGATATAACAATCTCACTAATTTCATTGTGTTAAAATGGTCTTGTTTAATACATTCTCTTTAATATGTTGCAGTAATGTTGAGAACATTTGGGAGCTAGTGATTCCTTTTGCCTTGCTTGCCACAGCAATAAGGCCTTTGAGATACCTAGGATATGTCCAGTTTGTTCAATCCTATACTGAACAGTGTTACCTTTAGGTTTCAAATTCAGTATGCTACAATGCTAAAATTATCAGTTAAATATGTAAATTATGTCACTGAAATATTATCTGGGTAAATATTTGTTAAATCATTCTGCCTGTCACTAGAAAAGTGTGAGTCTTATCCCTGAGTTCAGACACAACGTTTAGCATTTTCCTTTACAAAACACAAACTTAGCTGTACAAAGTCAGCTACTCAGTTAGTTGCTTTGACTGCCTGTCACTAGAAAAGTGTGAGTCTTATCCCTGAGTTCAGACACAACGTTTAACATTTTCCTTTACAAAACACAAACTTAGCTGTACAAAGTCAGCTACTCAGTTAGTTGCTTTGAAATTCAACCGACAACTTTCACTATATTTTTTTGATCATCTCATGTTCTGGTGAAATTTCTTTATATGTCAAAGCTTTACAATGTATAGAGTAGTGATTCCAACTACACTGTAGCTTGCTCTGTTTTCTGGTCATTCTTGATTAAAGAATCCTTCAAATTTTTTCAACTGAACTTGAATTCTTCAATTCTTTCCCCTACTTTAATTCACATTAACCAACAATATAATTTTCCAATAATTCAATTTAGTTTTATACGAGATTAAATTTATTTTTATTTATTTTCTTTTGAAACATTACTTTTTAATTTCAAAAGTAATCACACTGGTTGTAACACACCATGTGAAAGAGTTACATGTGAATCCTTCCACAGATTCTCTATGTTCTTTAAAACATATATACATCTATATACCCATATTTAGGGGTTTTTCTTCTGAAAAGTTACAAAAATGGGATCCCCCATCTCCTCCCCCTCTGCCTCCACTTAATATGATCACAGACAAAGAGATTACATTTAAAGATCACAACATTTTCTCCACAAAAGCACCTTGTTCAAACATATCCAACAAAACTAAAATTTTATGTGACTTGCAATTTTTTGTGCTTCACAACTTGGATTGCAAAAATCTAACTTAGACTGGAGTAGTGTAAGAATAGCCCCTGAATGACCTACCACGGTGCAGATAGGAAGGGTGCAGCTTTTATTAGTTGATTTACTATAAAAGCATTATGTAACTAAACTATACTTGTAGCAAGAATAACATTTTTAACAGCTGCAGAAATCATATTCATGTTTGTCACAAATATGAAATAAAATAGCAATAATAAGGTTTTTTCACCAAAAGCTATAAACAGTAAATTAAAAAGTTGTGTTGATTTTTACATTGTTCAATGAGTTTGGAATGCTGTTTTCTGCCTTAAGTTTTGATTGGCCTAAGAGTTCATTTTCAAGAACATCATTACAAAAATATGTAAGTGGTGTCGCACATTCAACAAACCATATTATAAATAACTTTTAATAATTTCCCAAGAGTGCAGTTGCTTTCTTTATGGAATAGGTTCAAACAATGTCAAAATACTTACCAGGGTCAACATCTTTCTCAAAATTGCTACTACTACACTCTTAGATTCACAGGCTAAAGCTGAAAACTACTATGCATTTCTCCATCTTATCATCCTTTTTCTCTTCTAAAAAAAATAATTTAGGGGCTATTTGTACCAGTTCAATTAAATTGTAAAGGATTGCCATTGACATGACTCTTTTTGAAGAGATGCCATGAAAACTCATTGAAGAAACATGACCCAGTTTCCACATTTCTGTTGACATGAGATATTTTGCCACACTTCTCAACTAACCACAAATTACGTTAATATAAAATTAAGCTGCACCTAAGTCCAACCTACAGTGATGATCAAGTTAGTCATCCTGAATCAGAAAATCAAGCAAGACGCTAATGAGAAGAATATCAAACCATCGCCTTCTGGTCACTGCGTGCCTTCCCCACGTCCGCCCACCTCCCCTCCTCCAGCACTTGCCACTCTTGGCCTTGTTGCAATGTGCAAAATTCTCGCTATGATATCATACTGCATTTTCATCTGTTCTATCCCATTCAACTGATTTAATTTCCTTAAAAAAATGCTGGTTGCAACTCACTAAATTGATTTTATAAGCCACTTATGGGTCCTGGTCTGTACTTTGCAAAATCTGCTCAAAAATATGATCCCTAAGACTCCTCACAGCTTTAAAATGTATGCTTCTGTATTCATGATACAAGCTACTGTCAGAGCCAGTCTGGTCTGGGACAGTCTGATCCTGGGCTTCACTCCGAAATACATGCTTTTATTTAACCTTAAAATGAAATATTTTAGATCAGGAAGCAAACTACCTCTGGAGCTACACTGGTATAGGTTTGGGAGAAAGAAACTACAGTTTTTTTTACCATGCATCTCAGAGTGCTGAACTCTAGCTCACATCTTGGACTGTGTGATTGCTGCATCTTTCTTTTATGCCCCTCTTGTAGACTATTAAAAACAACAAAAGAGGGTTAGATAACAAATTTCAGCAATATCCTTTTGAAGGCAGTATACATTCATCATTTAAAGATGCTCCATATATTTTTGCGTTAATTCTGTAGGTCAAGCTTTATAGGAGTGTTTTCTAAGTGTACTGCCTGTACACTGATTGTACTAGAAACGGTTTTAGGCAAAAACCAGAAAACAATGTCACACACATTTATTTTTATGTTACCTTCTGCTTATGGTAAACCATCTTGGTTTATCAATTAATGAAAGTGATACACAATTTTCTTTTAAAAATAAATAAGTTAGCGGATATCAAGAAAAATATTTTTAAAATAGTTGAAAAATAGTAGAATTAATTAAAGTCTAAGGCGAACAGCTGCATTGTAGTAATTAATTATTTACTGACTTAGTACATTGACAATATATTTATTTGTCATGTACTGATTTACAATGACCAGAGGGCTGGAATAAATTTAAGAGCTGTAATTGAATTTCTAATAATTATTAATAATGATTGTTATTGCTTATTGGCAAGATCTATAACAGGTAGTCAGTTTCTCGGCTGGTTAATGTTGTTTGTAGGGTTAAAGATTCAGAAAGTGCTACTGCCAAAAAAGCCATGATATACAGATTATTTGAACTAGAAGGGGTCCCAGAGACCATCTAACCCAATGCCTTCATTTTAGTTTTTATTTAGACACATGTACATTCACGTAGCTAGATAAGCATGTGGGATCCACAAAGGGGCATGGCCTGCTGCGCGGACACAGGTAGCCATGCCCAGAGGGGGATTCTCAGCCCAAGGCCCCTTCCCTTCACAGGTGCTGGTAACACAGAATGTTGACTTCTCAGGGTCTATCCTTCCTCTTTAGTGAAACAGTGGTCATCACGTGCACTCCATGGGGTGTGAGTGAAAGTTCTAACTATGGACCTTACATTTCCACAAGGATATTTCTTCTTTACTGGAGACACATGCAGCTTAGTCATTTTAATCTGATGTTATGATCATCAAAACATCTGGATTCCTATTATCTCGAGACTATGTATGTTCATGGTGTTTTCTCCTCTTGATTTTTCTCCAAAACCCTAAAAACAGCTTGTACATGGTAGGTATTCAATATGTCTCTGATAGAAGAATTATGTAATAAATAAATGAAGGTAAGATGTGACCCCAACCTGACGATGAGGAGACCTTGGCTGCTCAGTGGAATGTGGAGGCCAAATCCTCAAGCTCACGTTCCCTTTGAAAGTCAGTGCAAAGGGACTCAGGAGGTTTCGAGTCACTCACAGCAGAATTAAATGTCTGGTTCAAGCTTTTTTCACCAAACAAATGCAGAAAACAATTGCTCTCAGACCTCCAAGTGTTTCCAGAAAGTTCTAATGGCTTATGAGGAATATTTCACTAGGTCTTAATGTGACATTGACAGTTGCTGTGGAAATGTTAGTGGCTTCAAAATATTTCCAAATAATGAATATTTCCAATACTTCATTATTAAAGAAGATAACTGACTTATAGATGACTCAAAAAAGGTGAAAAAGGTCCTCTTCCTTTAAAACAAAACTTTGCTATGTGCAAATTTACTTCTACTAAACTTATATTGGGAGGGGGATGTCAGAGATAGAATTTGATATCTGACTCATTGTTTTACTGTTTTTAAAAGTGTCTATATCTTGGAAGGTTTATTTACCAGTCTTCTACAATTAGAATGAAGATCTTTTTAAAATTTATTTTTATTTTTATTGAAACATAATTGATTGTACGTATCTGTAGGGTACAGCGTTGAATATCAATACCTGTGTGCAACATGTGATGTCAAATCAGTATAATCAGTAATATTCAACTTTACACCACGTAATAATTTTTTGTGGCCCTTTACCAATTTCTTGTTAACTCCCCCCACAGAATGTAGATCTTGAAGGGCCTTTGGTTGCTGCTTTTCCTATAGTTATCAGAGGAAGCCTCTTACATGTTAGCATAGTGTAGTGATGTAATAATTTTTTGTGGCCCTTTACCAATTTCTTGTTAACTCCCCCCACAGAATGTAGATCTTGAAGGGCCTGTGGTTGCTGCTTTTCCTATAGTTATCAGAGGAAGCCTCTTACATGTTAGCATAGTGTAGTGACTAAACAGAGAAAAGCAAGATTTACACCATCAAGTGTCAGGCTATCCAATTATCCTCTTGTATCTTATTTAGGACAAACAAAAACTGCCAAGTACCTTTACTGTGTATATCTTTGAGTTTGTCCCTAGGAAACAGTTAATATTCTTAAACGTTTGGTATTTACGTAGACTCACTTGAAATTATTTTCTCTAGTTAAATGGATAAGAACTATTTTCAGTCTAAAATGAGTGTACTCTTAATTGAACATATGTACAATAACATATTTTTATAAATTGAAATTAGAAAGACTAATTATATGACCATCAATAAAGTCTTTGGGGACTTATAACTTTATCAGCTATCAAAATAATTTTTTTCAATGCCAATGATGATTTAAAAAAATTTTAACATTTACTTGTACATATTTGTGGGGTACAGTGTGTTGTTTCAATACATGTACAATGACTCACTTAGGGTAAATAGCATAGCTTTGTACCTATCAGTCCACCACTTCTAATTTTTAAAAAGCTTTTCACGGGGGTAGCTCACATTTTAAGTGTTAAGTATTAAGTATATGAGATAGTGCTGGTTAAATTTCTTAGAGAAAAAACAGGCCCATATTAGAAGAAAGAGGGGTAGATTTCAGAGTCAGAAAGATCTGGGTTTGAATTGTGCCTCTGTCACCAGCTGTGTGTGACTTTAGGCATATGATTTATTGTCTCTAAGTTTCAACTTACTCATTGGAAATGGGGATAATAATGTTGATATTAACAATAACTAACATTTATTGAGTGCTACTGTGTGTCAGAAACTAGTCTAAGCATTTACATTTTTGAACTCATTTATTCCTCACACCAACCCCATGAAGCAGGTAATATTATCCCGATGTTACAGATCAGTAAATTGATGCACAGAGTGCTTAAGTGAATTGCCCAAAGTCACAAGGCTCATATAGCCAGGATTTGAACTTCTGTCACACATCATTAAAAGATTAACTGTTATTATTATCATTAGGATTAATATTAAAATATAAATTATTTAGGAGAAAGCTAACTTCCTACTCAAAGGTCCAGCCCAAGTCAAACTTTCCCTTCTAAGAAGCATTTTGTGAGCACTATAGCTTCATCACTGTTTTTCTGAACTCTTACAATATCTAATGCTTGTAACACTCATGTTTCTCATATCATGGCCCGAAATGGGGTGTCTTTTCCTATGTGTAGGTACCTGTGTGTGCATACACATATATACGTACATATATATATAATACATATATCTACGCATCTAATCTTCTCAGCGAGTTTGAGAGATTCTTTAGGGCTGTGGTAACATCTTATTCCTTTATAGCTCCTATAACATCATAACAGAGTGACCGGGAGAGGTAAAAATTCAATAAGTTAGATTACATTAGAATTATAAAAATATTAGAGTTTATAAAGCACTTGGCTTTGATGGTAATCAGAATACCCTTCACTAACTAACATCATTTTCCTTACAAGTTTCCTAGAAAAGAAAGTGCTAGATATGGAAGACAAGCACATAGTTCAACTACAGTCCATAAAAGAAGAGAAAGACCAGCTCCAGGTGTTAGTCTCCAAGCAAAACTCCATCATTGAAGAACTGGAAAAACAATTAGTGACGTCCACAGTGAATAATTCAGTTCTTCAAAAGCAGCATCATGATCTGATGGAGACAGTTCGTAATTTAGTGACTATGATATCAACATCAAACTGTAAGTAAAGTTTACATATTTTTTTCTTCAATTTAAATAACCTTTAGTCAATTAAACTCAAAATTCTAAAAAATTCTCAACTTTCAAAAAAGGCACTACTTCTCTCATGTATTTTATATGAAAGCTCTATAGGGTCTCAATATAGAACCAATTAAAAAGAAGGAGAAAGAGAAGGATGAGGGAAAATATATAGTATGCTAATTATTAACAGGTAAAACATGGCAATAAAGAACCTATCTGAGTTAGTTCCACTACTAACTGGATGGATGAGGCTGGACAAGTTAGGAAGTCACGGAGGAGCATCATTTCCTTAGCTATAAATGGGAAAAATGATACCAGACCCACTGGATTATTGTGAAGATTAAATGAAACAATGCTTTCAGTGACTGGCATAAAACTGGCACTTAAGAGATGCTAGTTTTCTTCTCTCTCAAGGTACTTAAATACATTTTGCCTTCTTTATTACTACTTTACCTTTCAGAGTCTCTTAGATATTAGAGGGAAGAAGGGATGCATCTTTGGTAATTGATTAAAGATGTGAGATACAATCTTTGTGGCATTTGCATTTAAGTTTCTCCCCCCCCCCCTTAAACAAATTGGGTCTAGTTCTTACTATGGCTTATTTCAAAATATCCTTTCAATTTGTATCTTTTAGACACAGATACACTTTGCATATAAATCATGTAGAAGTATTCATTTCCATAAGAAATATGTTCCCACATTTTTTGGGGGGGTCACGCAGTTATCCCAGTTTTAATGGAAATTCTTAAACAAAGTTTCTATTTAAACAAACAAACAAGCAGAAATAGTAGCTCAGTCTTGATGATAAGTGGCAGGTCTGACACTGGGCTGCCAGTTTGTAATATGTTCTTTCCAACTAGAGTTGCATTCTTCTACTTTAGAAAAGTCATTTTTTTTTTTTCACATTCACGGAAAAGGAAAAGGCAATCATCTGACACTGCCTGAGGGACAAAATAGTGTGAGGAGCCAGCTTTGACAAGCCAAAGTAGAGAAAATGTGTAGCTCAGATTCGGGCAGAAAAAAATGAGCAGCAGAAAAGGTTTACCTATTCCGCCATGTTTTTAGCTGAATAAAGATGTGCCCTCTGCCCACCCGGGATGCTCATCCACACTGTCTAGTCCACGGAGTTCTATGCATTGGTAGGTCTCTAGAATAAAATATAAATAGTTGCAAGAATCACACACACATACATGCACACACACAGGCACACATATTTTTAACGTGGCAAAAAAGGAATGGCAACTCCAAATGTTGAGAATAGAATAAAAATTTGAAGGAATTTCATAGCTCTAGAATTTTAGACTTAGAAGAAGAATTCCAAAGACACAGATAAATAAACATTATGCTCCTCTTTAATGCAAACTGTTATGGTACAGTTGCTAAAAATCCAAAGAATACTAAATGTCTCCACCCAATATTCTAAAGAAAATTAAAGACTTGGCCTCAGATGTATAAAAAGAAAGGAAGAAAATTCATACAATGCATACCACGGCCTCCATGGGATAGTGGCCTAAAGGGATATACAATGGAGCCATGGCACAGGCGACACTGTTTTTAGGTACATATTTTTAAAATCTTTCTGTAATAAATTTACTCAATTCTACTCATGATGGAAGATTTCCAAAAAAGTAATAGTTTATTATAGCTAATTGCATTACATATAGTTGATGATAAAAAGGAAGTATAGATTATTTGTGACACTTTGAGAATTAATAGGAAAATAGGCTGAAAGAGTAACTTTTTTGGAAAGGCTAAGAACCTGGCATATCCTTTTACTTATTACAACAATTCAAATGCAATAAAATTCACCAAATAACTGGATCCAGAAATAACAAATTTTTATCTTTTCATGAACTCCATTTCAATGCTTTTATATTTTTTAAAAGCAGCTAAGAACTCCTTTGTTGCTAAAGAAGAACCAATCATTTTCAGAGACTGTGCTGAAGTATTCAGATCAGGACATACCACTAATGGCATCTACACGTTAACATTTCCTAATTCTACAGAAGAGATAAAGGTAAGGAATTAGTTTCCCATTATTACCTCCCTGGCTCTGAGCAGGTCACTTTACAGGGTGAACTACGGAGTGTAACTCCCACACCATGGACCTTCCCAAGCTTCACTCAGTGCACAGCAGCCGTTACTGAGCAGCTGCCTCAAGTAAAGTACTTGCCAAGGGCTAAGTTGAACTGCTGTGCACAGAATATTAACACTGCATGTTAATGATGCAGAAATATCTAATCTTATCTTCCACGAGAAATATATTCTTGCTTTTTGCTTGAATAATGCACACTGTCAAGTGTCTTCATTGAAGTACCAGACTCATTTCATTAATTTTAAAGAAAATATCTTCCAAAAACTTAAGTTTGAATAACCATATGATCATTGATGACTGATGATGAATGGACATTGAATGACCACTGATCATTGATCTTTTGATCATTCTTTCAAGCAACGACTGTATCCCATGAAGGAAAAAAAGGCTCATTCAACTCACAACTGAAACAATCACACAAAAGTGATTTCTTTGACATAGCCTTTGTACTTTGCTATGTAGAAACAATTTATACGTATTTCCCATTTCATCACACAGAATACTAAAAAAATGTGCACTCAGCAGTAGAGGTTTAATACAATTAATAATTTTTACCGCTTTGTCAAAGACATCTTTAAGTGATGGTGGTTTTTCTTCCTTTCTAAAATGCAAGTGTGACGTATTTCCCATTTCATCACACAGAATACTAAAAAAATGTGCACTCAGCAGTAGAGGTTTAATACAATTAATAATTTTTACCACTTTGTCAAAGACATCTTTAAGTGATGGTGGTTTTTCTTCCTTTCTAAAATGCAAGTGTGACTGTGAAGAACATAGTGACTTGCACAGTCTGGTACCCTGCCATGCTTCACATGAGGGTGCTAGCAATTTTACCCACTATTGCTTTTGTACCATCGGTGCAAATTCCACACAGTGCTGAAGGCCAGTAATGTCTCTGTTATTATGGAAACAGCTGCAGCTTTGTGGACTTGCTGACATGGTCTCAGGGACACCTAGGACTTGGCAGTCTACACCATCATAACCTCTGGGGCAGGCTGTTCCTACTGCATCTAATGCAGTCTGGGAGACTTAAAACATACCATTAAAGAGGGCATTTGTTTTTTCCTCAAGTATGGGGAGTTTACTTCAAGGTGTATGTTACTTTGTGTAAAGTGAATGAACACCAGCACTTATCAGAAAGCAAAGCTACTACATAGCTTAACTCAATCATTCTTAGTTATTCTGGATTATTCAGTGAGAGTGTCTCCTGACTTTGCTTTGGATGAGTTTTAGATGAAGAAAAAAATCACTTCCCCAGGGAATATTTCAATGAGGCTTCTCTTAGGGTTTGATAAGGTAGAATGATACATGAGAAACAGTTTGAAGTGTTATGGGCCTATAAATAAGTTTGCATCCAAATGTAAAAGCAGCTACATATTGAACATAAACACCTACAGAAAAGGCACCAGATACTGTACCAAAATGGAAATTTTAGAGGCTCCTGGAAGTATTATCTCGTTGAACTCCCTATTATCCTCACTTTTTAACTTGCTATCAAAGAAAAACATAAGCATTGGGTTTTAAAGATGTGGAATTTGAAACAGTAACATATCACTCAATTATGAATTTAAAAGATAAATACAGTGCTATTCAAGACAATACTTCCCAAAGAAACTTTCTAATTTATTCATGCGGCTTTAAATCAACCTTGAAAATCAGTCCCTAGTATCCTAGAACAGTGCACAAGGAGAGGGAAAAACTCACAAAACAGTCTTTTGCAGATTAAAATGCCCCAAAGAAACTTTCTAATTTATTCATGCGGCTTTAAATCAACCTTGAAAATCAGTCCCTAGTACCCTAGAACAGTGCACAAGGAGAGGGAAAAACTCACAAAACAGTCTTTTGCAGATTAAAATGCAGTCAAGAGACTTTGGACTAAACCTTTCAATCCTCTTTGCTATCTGGTTTGCATGACAATTTTTTATATGTTACTGTCACCAGATGTTTGCATGTTCTTGGCTTAGGGATAATAGGGACAGAAGGATGGAGAATATCAGTGAACTGTGAATTCCATGATGCAGACCCAGAGGGACAGCACTAGTCGCACAGCCCCATCCTACTGTTGTATGGATGTTTTTCTGACTCAGTGCAGTGCTCCCACAGCAGGGTACTCTACCACCCATGGACTGACTGAAGTGTTCTGCAGAAAGATGAAAATACATATGACTCTGGGATTATATGAGTCTCAGGTCATGGTTGGAAACAGGATTTACACTCCCTTTAAACCTTTGTAATAAAAATAACTCATTTACATAGTAGGGAACAACCATCTTTTAAAATCTCAATTTTCTCATCTCTAAAATAAACAGTCTAGATTAAGTTACCTCTAAATTCCCTTCCAGACTTACAACTTCATAATTCACAATCTGATCTAGGGAGAGACAATCAGATAGACTTGGGTTTAAATTCCAGCTCTGCCAATTTGTGGCTCTGAGCAAATCATTTAACCTTTCTGATCTCTCAGTTTCCTCATCTGTAACAGGACGATCACATTTCCAGCCTTGGAGGTTGTGATTATAGAGGAATAGCAACCAAGATGGGATTTGGACTAATAATGGGAGTTGTTATTATTTTTGACTGCCCCCAGAGACTACAAAGTGACTTCTCTGCAGAAAAAAAAATGTTCAACAGATCTCTGAGCAGCTCTTTTTCCCAAAATACCTAAGTACTGCAACTTTATTTCTGAAGAATCCATTAGATTTTTGTACAAGATAGACACTGCAAGATGAATTTATCAGAAGTATGAGGGTATGTTTTTGCTAGTTATAGACATAGTAGCTTCCCTCCCTAAATTTTACAGGACACTTGACTTCTAATATTTATCTATGTGTTTGCTATTTAATCAGTCACTTAACCATGGCCTCAGAAATGAAGCATAACATCTTTTTCTTTTTTTCTTCTTTTTTTTTTTAATGAATCATAACTGATTATACATATTTTTGGAGTTCAATATTGACATGTTGATCAAATCAATATTACTATTGTGTATATTGTTACAAATCGTACCTATTCTTTATGTTCCTTGTCCAATCTCTCCCTATCTCCCTCTCCTTCCCCCCTCCCACCAGTGATAACACTAGATTTCTTCTCTTCCTCTGAAAGTGTAATGGTTACTCTGTTGATTTGTTGCCTAGATGATCTGTCCAACGCTGATAGGTGTGTTCAGGTCCCCCAATATTATCATAGAGCAGATGCTTCTTCTCTAAGTCTGGAATGGACTTTGTGGAGAGAGACATCCTCTTCTTTTCTTTGGTCTCTGCTGGTGACTCTCCTTGTGTCAATGTACTCCAGTGGCTGGTGGACCATCTGCATGGTGGTTGTGATGTCTAGCCACTTTTGTGGCAGCTGTGGTTACTGTGGTGGGCCACCCACATGGAGGTAATGTTTTTGGCATTCTCCTTGGCGCTAGAGGTGTGGCTGGTTGTGGGAGGAGTCCAGTCCCCAGCTATATACCTCAGGAATCCAGGCAGGCCCTGAGGTGCTGGCAGTGTGCTTGGGCCGGAACTAATTTTTTGTCCTTTGCTTACTTCTAAAATGGGGGAACTTCCTGTGCGAACCAGTACTTGAGCTGTGTGGTTGAGCTAAATTGCTGCTTTGCTGCTGTTTCTCTAGGGAAGGCTTTTTGTGCAGCTCAGGGTTTAGTGGTTGACTTTGTAGGTAATTCTGGCTCTCCAGAGAGCCGGTGTACCTGGGTTGTGTAGAAACTCTGATCTGGGCCTGAGTTTTTTCATCAAACTGCACCCCATGCAATTCTGCATTCCCGACCAGTCTCCTCTGAGTGGTCCTGTGCTGACTGGCGGACAGATCGGCTGTCCTTGCTGTGTCCCACTGTTCTCCTGGTGGGTCTGTCTCCCCCACCGCCTGTGCTCCAAACACTTCCCACAGGATGGGCCCTGCATCAGTCTCTTGTGTTGACTCACCAGCCTCTGAATGGCTCCCCTTTTTCAGCTGTTCTGGCTCCTCACTCCTGTGTGGGTCCACGGGAACCCTATTAGTGGTCTCGCTGTCCTGGAGGCCACTAAGGCCCTCTTCTCCCCTGCCGCCTCCAAGTAACTCCATCTGAAGGGCACAGCTGTGGCTTCTGCCGGCTCCTGCTCCATGAGCTCAGCAGCTCCAGCCTTAAAGCAGCGGAAGCCTGAAATGCTATCAGCAGTTTTTTCTTTCTCTTATCGTGGCTTCTCCTGCCTTCACGTACTCCATAGGTCTCTCTTCCTCTTCCCCTGAGCTCCATTTTTATAGTTGTAAATTGGTTGATTTGTGAGAGAGAGTGATGCTGGGGACTGTCTATTCTGCCATCTTGACTGGAACTCTGAAGCATAACATTTAAATCAAGCAGTGTTTACTGAAAAACATCAAGCTTTATAGCAAAATATCAGATCCCTGAACCGTGCAACAGTGTGCTAATCTAAAGTACTAACTGCCCTCGGATTTGTTGTAATTAGAGTGGTAAGGTCTTAGGAAGTATCTGAGGACGTCTGCTTTTCTGAACTCAATTATCTTCTGGCTATGTGGATAACTCTATTTGAACACTGTCTTTCTCTGCAAGTTTCATGATCCAATTCATCATAATACTTTATTTTTTTATAAATCCTCTGTTCTTTTTTTTTGCTCAAATCATTTATGCACTGGTAGTGGCTCTCAGGTATTTGAGGGTCTTGCCTCTCACTTCCATAACAAGACAAACTTGTTCTCTGGACAAGAGAGATCATGCATTTAAATATCAGCAACTTTATAATGGTGATTTTGACATAGAAGAATCAAATATTCTTGGAACAAGGAGAGACTCACTAAGAACCATGTCAATTCTTTCAACCCACTGCAATGCCATTTAGAATCCAGGAGAATTAACTTCTACACACATGAATCCTCAGACCAATGTAGCTTATTCAGTTAGTTTACTACACAGACTTTTGAAAAGACTACTGATAGAATTGATTAGCACTGACCATTTTGTGGAACACAGGCAAATCAGAGGCAGTATTATTCATGAACTGACTTCAACTTGGAGCTGTGTTGAGGGACTTTTGGCCTATGAATAAAAGGGTCACATCTCTGTTTTTGGCAGTATAATGTAGTGGGGAAAATGTTATTAAAGAGACCTTATTCAAATTCCATATACCAATAAAGAACTAAATGACTGTGATCAAATTAATCTAACTTTACTAAATCTTTTCTCCTTTCAAAAATGCGGAATTATATCATAGCAGAGTTGCTGTGAGATTACAAGTAATATATGCAAAGTACTGGCATAGTGCTTAGAAGTGTGTAGCAATGACAACAATGATAATTAGTAATAATGATGATACAGAGGGATAAGGGGTTCCCTGCAGATCAATTTTATATGTCTAATTAATTTAAAATGGAGAATAATTTTCTTATTAATAAATGTAGTTTTTTCTTTAGTGGCACATATTTTTCTAAACATGAGGACCACTGGGGAAAGTGATATGGGCCATGTGACTATCATGGACAGAAACCAGAACAGTGGTGGAGAGAAGTCCTCTGCAGAGTGAGGCTATTCCAGTAACAGTGCTCTAGTTCCATCAGCTATAAGACATTCTAGGTGCTCTCTTGGTTCTCATTAGCTCTCATCTCTAGGATTCGAAATTGTAAATACAGTAAAGTTTGCATTTAAGCTTACCTTGCCAAAGTTGTTTCCATTATTCTTAAAAAACCACGGAAAACAACAAAGGAAGAACATTTATCATTGGTTTTGAACCTTAACTTTAATATTTCCTGCCTTGTACGCTGTAGGAAAATTATCTTACTTTCTGAAAAACTTTTTTGTTCTACATAATCTCATTATTTAGAACTATTTATGTAATCTTATTTCCAGGGGTTTTTAATTTCATAATAAAACTCCAGCTGAGCTGAAATTGAGCATGCATGCTCTTAGCCTAAGAAAGAATTCTGTGTTTTGGACAAAGTTTAAACCCACTGAGCCAGTTTAAAAGCAGAAATAAAGAGTTGGGAAGACAAATACCATGTGCGGTGAGCAAAGTGCAGAGAAGCTTGAACACATGACCTATGGTGCTGAATTGCCAGGGCAAGCTGGGGTTGCACACGTTGCATACATCACACTGAAGCAATGGAGCACTGTAGCCTCCAGTCCTCGCACTCAGGGATGAATGGAGAAGACTGATTTTTATCGCACATGTAGGAAGCCTACCAGCTCCACAGCATGAGAACATAAAAGAGGTCTTGGAAACCCTACAGTGAAAGAGTATATTCTTTAGATAACTCTTTGCAGGATTGGCAGGGACTGGTGAATAGTAAAAGGTTTTCAAGGCTGTGACCAAAGTCAATGGTTTCCTTCAGATTTGAGATGTGAGGTTCAGGACCAATCTGCCAAGATGTCCCATTCACAACATCTCTAAAAAACAGTGATCTTTAGGTCAGCCATGGCAGTGGGGTCTTTAGTCTGGAACAGATGATAAGAAAGTCATATTTTCTTCAAAACTTCTTATGATACTACTGTTTATTTAAAATTCATTGTTTCCAATTCATTCAAAACCATCTGTTTCTTAAAAGACCACAATGTTTTGCCCCATGTCTTATCCCTATTATGTCTTATTGCACCCTGTCATCATGAATCTTATCATAGGTGTCTATGTTCATTTTGTTTCTGTTGCTCGAGGCGCAGGCCTAGTCACTGATGCCCTGCACACAGTAACCGTGTGTTCCCTCAACAGGCTTACTGCGACATGGAAACTGGTGGAGGTGGGTGGACTGTTATTCAGCGACGTGAAGATGGCAGTGTTGATTTTCAGAGGACTTGGAAAGAATATAAAGTGGTATGGATATTCTTTAACCCATATGAAAAGAAACAATTTCCCCTGTGAAAACTAACTTGCAAAATATGCAAAACCTTAACCACAAATCCAAAACTAACCAAGGACTTAACGTAGTTTTTTACCAAAGACTTCTTTCAAACTGTTGTTTCAGTCTCAGCATTAAAAACTCTTCTCAATGTAACATAAACTATGTATCAAAACAAAGGCATGTGAGTGCTCAACTTATCTTCAAAGGCAGGCTCAGTGTTTTTGGGCAGCCGACTGTTTCATGGTGCTTCGCACTTCTATGAACCTGGCTGCTCATACTTATATTTCTGTTGGTGGTTCCCCAAGTAGTTCTAATTACTCTAATACTAATTTTCTTCCAGGAATAACTTAGTTCCTTAAAATTGACTTTTAAAAAATCTATTTTCCTATGTGAAAGACCCTGGATTTTTACAATACAGAAAGTAATTTCTACTGACTACTTAATAGTTATTCCATGACTAAATCGATGGACTGTTAATTTCAAATAAGGAAAAAATAAATGAAGTAACTGAATTTTACAACTTGGATTACAGGGATTTGGTAACCCTTCAGGAGAACACTGGCTGGGAAATGAGTTTGTCTCACAACTGACTAATCAGCAACGCTATGTGCTTAAAATACACCTTAAAGACTGGGAGGGAAATGAGGCTTACTCATTGTATGAACATTTCTGTCTCTCAAATGAAGAACTCAATTATAGGTAAGTAAATATCTGTAATTATAAAAAAAATTAAAGGGTTTCCTGGGTGATTATTCCAGAAAGTGAGAACCATATTGATTTAACCAAGATATAAACTACTCTTAAACTATCTTAAATAGGAAAACATCTTGTTTCTTAGAATTATTATTGTCTATTGGTAAGTTTCTCTACTTTAAAAATTTTAAATTTGTTTATAACAGTATATGGGAAACTTCATGAGCACAGGATTTTGTCTGTTGTGTTTGCTGTGTATACTCAAAGACTAGAAGAATCTTGTCTGACAGATAATGGGTTTTTATAACTATCTGTAGCATAAGTGAATGTTAAGTGTTCCTAATATAACAAGTCATATGAATATCATAACAGATAGATACCTGTGACTATACTGTTTTCTTCCAAAAGATTTTAAAAGATAATCTATATTTTTGAAGTTTAAGCACATTCAGTTATTGTGTTCAATCCCAAAGTCAAGATTAGCTGTCAAGTTAATAAATGGCAGAATTAGGTGGGATGGTTAGTCACCTCCTCTGTTCTCTACTATAGAAAGTACATCAGATTCACAGTACTCCTTTAGTATTTGCCTTGTCCCCACACATTTGGTGGCAATAATCTTGAATGTTCTGAAAGCATGGGCAACTTTGCCCAGGAATTTACTTTCTAATTCAAAAATGCCGTGAGAGTAGAGACAGAGAACAGCAAAGGGACTTGACAATCTCCTGTATAAAACACACACGGGAAAGCCACATGCTTATATGCTAATGCGTAAAGTATACAGAGGCACTCCCAAACACACACGCAATGCAGGGGACAGAGAGAAAGGAGATTCTGTGTTGGGTAGTACTAAAGAAATTGGTCTGAGAACAGGTAAGTCACCAACGCTACACTGAAGAAATCTGAAGAGTACAGACTGATGGTGTCTGGTGATCATGGGGCACAAATTATGAAGTGCTTACTCTGAGGTCAGAAATAAGCAAATGAATTTCAAAAGGAACACCACAGAAAACAATTATCTGGCTTACAGTCTCATCTAAATCTCATTAATGCCAAACTCAGATCTGCTCAACAGAAATTCTAAGATCTTAACAGTCTGAAAAGCAAACCTGATTTCAAAGTCTGTGAGCTGGCTTCCTGGGGGAGGGTCTCAATGGACAGCACAGAAAAGCAAGCAAGCTGAAAGTCGAGTTGCCCAAATAACTACCTGAAAATTACAGAATGACAAGTATGTCCTGCTTTACAAACAGTGAATCAAAATTCAGAAGCATGTTTTGAAAACAAAAAATAAACACTGATGTGATTTTTAAAAAGTCAGTGAAGCATATTCCATCAATCCTCATTATAGAAAGAGCAGGGCTGTCTTGGAGAGGCCATAACTGACATGAATGAAAAGATAGGTTTCTGGGCCTCACAATAGTTCCAACTTGACTCCAAAGAGATCAAAACTTCAATGAATTTTGAGACATAAGTGGCTGGTCATTCTTTTACCTCCAAGCTAAATATTTTTTCAACTGGCAACAGTTAGGAATCTACAACAGAAGAATTTAAAAAAAAAAAAATTAAGGATTAGGCTGTTTGTATAAGATTTTACAAAATGGGTCATTATCCTTGTATGCTGACATTATCAAAATATTGTAAACTAAGAGGGTTCTTAACAGATATTTCCTTTAAAAATGCATCAATTTTTGGATATACCACTTTAAAAAACCACACAGTGGTTTAAAGCTTAGTTTAACTCACTTGGCAACATAAAATAGATATTACATCAAGAAAATCATCTTACTAAAACATGATGTTAATGTGGTAAGAGAACTGTGATGTGACTAAAACTTTTAATAATGACAAATGCTTCAGAATGCTAATTGTATGTAGCAGCTGAGTTTTCTTCCTAAAGAAATGTTCCCCAAATGTTGTGAAATGAAAAGTACATGTAATAAGAAAGGGATGAATGCAGCGATAGGATATGATTCTTTTTAGTAAAACTAAAAGCTATTTGTATATTAAACCTTAAAAACTGGTCAGTTTTTACAGACGTTCTGGCAGTTTTACACAAACAATGAGATTTAATTATTAAATGTTGGCATTACCTTTTTACTCCACTGATATAAAATCAAGTGATACTAATTTAAAGCAATTTTGAAGATGTTCTTAATTCTCTTCTTTACTCTTAATGTACCAAATTTAAAAGAAAGCACTTTAAACTAGTGGGGCATATGAGAATCTAAAATTATACAACTTTTCTAACAGAGACTAATAAAAAATTTTTTTTTTTTGCTTGTCTTTGGGGAAATCTAATGGGTTCCATGGGAACTGAGATTTTTCAAAGGAGACGAGAGTTAAAAGGAGGACAAGCAAGGAAGTAGTTCATCTCGATCCTGTCCATGATCAGCGAGAGGAGGCTGGAAAGAAAGTCAGGTGTTTCAAAATCCTAGCCATGATAAGAACTTATGATATTAACATTTTGCAGCAGGTATTTAGAGACTGAGCTACAGGCCTGTCTCATTTTTGAAACATGTAAGAAAACACTGAAATGCAGATGTTTAGTCAATGCCTTATGATGAAGTTTCTAGGGCTACTATATTTTTTTAAACAATTTAAATCTAGGTCATTAACACAAAAATAACGTAGGACCCACACTTATGGACCTTGACTTGACATGCCCTTCACTCCATCTTTTCACAACTTCTTCCTCAATAAACAAACATCTCTGTTAAAGAGTGTGACAGTGTGGAAACACAACAGAGGAGTTGGGTGCATCGAGTGCAAAGCCTAGCTCCACAACTTACGAGTTTTAACTTTGGCCACGTTCATCTCTCTGAACCTCAATGACATTTTAGGTAAGAACAGGGATGGTGCCTGCCTCTGTGGGGTGTTAGGAGCATTCAGTGCATGTGCTGTTTAAGAGCCTGGCCTGGCCTGGGCAGCAGGTGAACCGCACGAACCTTTCCTCTCTTCTCTGCACTCTGTTCCAACACGAATTCTTGGACATTATATTAGTTCCAAAATAGTGGTTAGCAAATGTTAGAAGGTTTGACAAAGAGGAGCATATTTTGGGGGCTTAAAGTACAATTCTCTTGCCACCATTGCAGGACTCCATTTTGTAGGATGCTTGCCAGGGTCTTTATGTGACTGTGTCTCCATCAAGATATGAGGACTCAATGTGCCAGGCTCCAAGAGCCCAACTCTCTGAGGCCAACACAGTGTTGACACATGCCCCATGTATACGTCTGTTCTGATCTGTCCTGAACCATCTGCCAAGGGCTTTCTTGCAGCAGTGACTCATTAGCATAGTTATGAGAAATCAAAAAAACAACTCACTTTCTTCTCCCTTCCCTTCTAATTCTCTCTGGCACTCAGATCACTGATGTAAGCCATATTTTTGCAGTATTCTAAAAGCATGGGCTGTTTATCTAGTGTCTAAGTTGGTATGATACTTATTCCTTTCTCACTGTTGAACAGGTTTATTACACTACTACATAGAAATGAGGCAAAGTAGCCATAAGGATTTATTTTCCACATTGTTCTGTACATTTCTAACCCAAACTCAAGGAATATTCTGTTGTTTGCTGATCTCTCCATCCCCATCCCCTCAGCCGAAAAGAATGATGTTTGAGATTGTCCAGTCATCTCGTGACTCTTGTTTCAATATGTACAATGGGAGAGGTCCCTCACATTGCTTTCCACTTCTTCTGTTTATCTGAAAGCAGCAAGAAAATAAATTATAGGTACTACAGTCCCTGCCTATACTTGTGCAAGTGATATGTGTTGAAGGTTTCATGAAAACATCCCTCTTTGCCAAAGGGTCTGATGATAAGTTGGTTCCTGTTTATACCAGTGCAAAATATTTTGTCCAGAGTATGCATTAGTACACTAACCAGTACAGAACGCACTTCTGTAGGATGGAATTCTTCATCATAAAAAATTTTCCACTACAGTAAATCAACAACCCAAGCCAATTACTTTTTTTTTCCCTTTGCACGCTTACAGGATTTATCTTAAAGGACTCACAGGGACAGCCGGCAAAATAAGCAGCATAAGCCAACCAGGAAATGACTTTAGTACAAAGGATGCAGACAACGACAAATGTATTTGCAAGTGTTCACAAATGCTAACAGGAGGTAGGGATGACTTTTCTGTTTTACCACTTGCATTGGCAAGAAAGAATTCCATAGAGTGAAAGGGTGGTAATTTGGACTTCAAACTGTGATTGCTAACAATGTCCAAAGTTTCATAAATAGACATACTAACTTGATAAAAAGTCAATGTTTTTCACTTTTTTAGACTGTTTAGTTTTAAGTGAAAATGTGATATGGAGCCAGAATTGTCAGCAGGCCAACTATGTCTCCTTAGGACCAACTCCTGGCAAGGAGAGAGAACATTTCACATTCAGCAAGCTCTCTTGAGTTTGTGCTTGCTGAATGTCAGATGTCAGAGAGAGGGTTTAATTCCATTTTGCTGTATTAAAAGAGTTAAAAGTTCAAAATGGCAACCAAAACAATGATATAGATTCATTATTATAGGAATATTTTCAATGAATAATCTAATGGTCAAACAATAGATTTTCAGCTGTCTTTTTTTTTTTTCCTTTTTGTCTTTTTTACTGACCGGTAACGGGATCGCAACCCTCGGTGTTGCGCCCACACCGCACTCAGCCAGTGAGCGGGAACTCGTATAACTTCGTATAATGTATGCTATACGAAGTTATTACGGGTATTTGAGGGTCTTGCCTCTCACTTCCATAACAAGACAAACTTGTTCTCTGGACAAGAGAGATCATGCATTTAAATATCAGCAACTTTATAATGGTGATTTTGACATAGAAGAATCAAATATTCTTGGAACAAGGAGAGACTCACTAAGAACCATGTCAATTCTTTCAACCCACTGCAATGCCATTTAGAATCCAGGAGAATTAACTTCTACACACATGAATCCTCAGACCAATGTAGCTTATTCAGTTAGTTTACTACACAGACTTTTGAAAAGACTACTGATAGAATTGATTAGCACTGACCATTTTGTGGAACACATGTCTTTTTAAAAAGAATTTTGTATAGCAAACACTTACCAAGAAACTAACCAACCTGCCTTTTTAGTGCATCACATTAAAATGAGTGATTGTCCACTCTAAATTAAGGCCTTTATTTTCAGGTTTTTCTTGTCTTTTACCTTTTGTATCAGATTGCTTAAAAATGAAAATGGAACTATACCTATAAGCAGAAGACTGTTGTAGCTGTCGCTTAAAATGACTAGGATGGTATTCCAAAACATTTAAGAGCAATGATAGGAACCAACTGTTAGAAAACTTAATTTCTAAACTTATAAAAATTAGACAAATAAGTAACAAGAACCAGTTAGTACTGATTGAAACAAGAAAAAAATCTACAAATGCTATCAAGTCAGTTCTTGAAAATGCTGAAAGATGTAAAACAGCAGCAAAAACTCTGCCAATAGTGCAAACTGAGAGACCAGCTGGTGATCTGCGTAGAATACAGACCGAGTTAACAAAACAGACACATTACCCACCAGGACAGGACAACCAAGGGTAAGAGCTGAGGTCAATATATTTTATAACTATAAGGCACTGCCTAAGACAAGTAGAAAACCTACGCTTAGAGTGTAGATGCACTTTGGTCAAGGGGTGTCTATAGTCAAGAGGAGGATTTATTTATGAAAATAATGTGAAATTCAGTAATTTTCATGTCTTTAAATTTCATGTGTTTGTACTAAAAGAATCAATCCTATGGCTCCTAAGATAATATAATTAGTATTTAGTAACATAAGTCTTCTCTATTAGCAATAATTATTTTAATGAGCAAAAGCTATTATACTGATTTTGTAAAAAATTGCTTATCTCCCTCATCCTACCACAATAATCCTTTTTAAAGCCAAGGAAAAAGGGGAAACAGGGTGGCGTGGAGGCCCCAAACATACCTGATCCTTTTGTTCCTGTCTATTATTTCCGTATGCTGGACTCAGCTCTCTATTTGAGAGGGTGGAGGTTTTCAGACCACTGGTAGTTGTGAGCTACTCAAGAGAGTAGAGTTGTATTAATAACCATGGAAACAATACATTTATTTACCCAAATAAAGATTTAGGGGCAGAGAATGGAACAAGAAAAGAGAGTGGCCCGTATGCTGGACTCAGCTCTCTACTTGAGAGGGTGGAGGTTTTCAGACCACTGGTAGTTGTGAGCTACTCAAGAGAGTAGAGTTGTATTAATAACCATGGAAATAATACATTTATTTACCCAAATAAAGATTTAGGGGCAGAGAATGGAACAAGAAAAGAGAGTGGGGCGAAGAAAGAAGCCCAAGAGAGAAAGTACAGTGGTTTCAACTATAAAGGGGCCAAATCCCAACCAATGGTCTGGACCATGAATAAAAAACTAGCCTAATAAGCAGCTTGATTTTTGCATAAACAGTAAGTTCTATAGTTAAGGTAGACAACAGGCCCTAGAATGGACAGACCTATGACTCTGAATACCAAACACAAACTTCTTATCACATCTACATTAATTTGAATCAACTCAAGTCATGGAACTGTCATGAGGAAAGAATTTAGGCACCCATAACTGGTGCTCACACAACCATGTGTAAACATAACATGTATATTTTTTATCAGAATTTTATTAAAAGAAATATATGTTATAGCAAAAGCTGCCCTACCCATACCATTCCCTATCTGCCACTGGGGTAGCCACTGAATTGAGGTTCACTTGCTTTATTTATTTTACTACATATGGAGATATTAGTGATAATTGTGGTATTTTTTTCTGTATTTTAAAAATGAATATAAATGGTATCGTAATGTGTGTGTCGCTCCAACATAATGTTTTTGAGATTTATTCTGATTAATTCACGTAAACAGAGATCGTTCTTTTCTCTCACAAACCCTGGCATCTGGCATGCTCCTTTTTCAGATCAAGCCAAGGGATAAGGGTGATGATGGGGATCCACTTCCCCACCCTGCTGTGCTGGGCACCCCCTTTTGGGTCTGACTTTAACTTAGTGAATGCATCACCCCAGCTTTAAATTTCCTTTTTGTCTCTGGAACTGAGAAATTTCCTTTTTGTTGAGTACTGTCCAGTGTTTAACATTTTGGGTTATATTTTAGTCAAAACCCTTTTTTTTAGTAGAGGAAACGGAGCCTGAATGAGTGCAGCCCACCACACTGCTGGGACTAGAAAGTAAACCTGGCCCAAAGAGTCATCAAATAGTTCTTCAGAGTTTTGCTTATCCATTCTTCCAACTGTACCATGTGCTTACCAAATCAGGACTGTGCAGGATTCATGCCTATGGATGACGGGACTTTGACTCAGCAAATCCTGACTGAATCCTGACTCAGAATCCCCGACTTCTGCACAATCCTGCTTCCAATCAAACCTTAAATTACCCACTTAATTATTACTCTGCACAAGAGGAAAGGATTAAGAAAGCCTGTAAAAATATTTGCCGTAACGGAGCTACAATTTTATCAGTGTAAAGTTGGAAACCATACTTCTGCCAATGCAGCACATTCTACACTCATGAATATTTGCATATGCCTACTTTAAATAATGGAATGTGACTTCTGGCTTAGTCACATTTCCACCTCCATGATGAGAGAGCTCGCGTTACCTAGTTCCTAATTCCTTCTTTGTTTTACTTTCACAGGCTGGTGGTTTGATGCATGTGGTCCTTCCAACTTGAACGGAATGTACTACCCACAAAGGCAGAACACAAACAAGTTCAATGGTATTAAGTGGTACTACTGGAAAGGGTCAGGCTACTCACTCAAGGCCACCACCATGATGATCAGACCAGCAGATTTCTAAATGTCTGTGTATACTTGACAAAGAGCATATTGTACTATTTTGAAAGAATTAATCCCACAGCACTGAAGACACTGCTGCACACTGTCTCTCCATGTCAGACAGCATGCTTTTGGGTGCCGACAGGGTCCAAATGCTCTAGATTAGAGACCTGTAAACTTCATCATTTTAACCTGCATCACTTAAAGAACCAAAGCAAAACCCCAAACAAGCAACGATCTGGCACTGAAATCTGGCAGAACACCTATGAGAAGGTGGATTCAAGGTTGAGAGTTAGACTGACAATTTACAGACTCTGCTGTCACAACCAAGAATGTTATGTGAGAGTTAATCAGTAAATAACTGGAAAACAGAACACTTAAATAGTACAGATAATCTTGGACTGCATTCCTTTAAGCACTGTTTATAGATTGTGTAAATATCCATATGTCCTGAATTCAGCATCACTATCACAATTAAATGAAAGTAAAAATTCTCTAAGCTATAAAAATATATTGTATATTCAGGGATTTTCTGAGAAGTGGCTACTAGCAGTTTAATATTTGGAAAAACACAGTGCTTTGTTTTTTACTTTGCCTCTTAGGTGCTTTAAATTTTAATTTTGAAAATAGCATATTTACATAAATATTGACAGCTTAGTTTTAAGTCAACGCTCAAATACATATTTCAAGATTATATGATGAAAATTTCCAGGATATCTGAAATTATCAACAGACGTGTGCCATTTTAGTTTATATGAAGATTGTACTATTTTTTTCTGCCCAGCTGTTAAATATGAAAGTATTTTTAGTAATTAAATATAACTTATTAGGTGAGATGACTACGTTCAACTTTTATGGTAATATTTACAATTTTACAGTTCACATTTCAATTCTGTTCTGAACAACGGATTGTGCCTAACAAGGAAAATTATGATTTTTAATGATGAAGAAAATTATACATTTATTTCCATGACAAAGAAACTATACTATCTTCTCACTATTCTAATAGAGATCTATTTTCTCTTCTAGTACGATATATTTTAGAGAATGAGGCTACGATTTAATTTGTGGTTGAGAAAAACCTTCCATTTAAGATATTTACAAAGCTGTACTTCTCAAGATTCACCCCTAAATTCAAATTAAAAAGTAATTTGCACTAGTAAGATTTTTTTTTACATCCATCAACAAACTAAAAAGAATTTAAAAATTTAAAAAAAGTGTTTTGGTACAAAAGCGAAATCTAATATTCTTCGTATATTCAAATGTTGACTAAATTTTTGAAAACACTGCAAACACTACAAAACCTTATCTCCTCAAATTCCTGCTTTAACTCCTTTTGAAGTTTCCATAGTACAACCAGTATTAATGAACATTTGTGTGACACTTTATAATTTAGAAGTAATTTCTTATATATTTCTTTTTGAGTCATTTGCTAGAACATCTGGAGTCAAATCTGCAACCAGCATTTATTCCATGTGTCTTCACCTTGTATTGTTCTACCATTATTTTTTCTTCACTCCAGTCTTCTTATCTAATTCATTCTACCCTGCATTCTCTGGCACTTAGTGTGGGAACACTTCAGTGTTGCTGTGTGTTCTGAGTCGATCTATGAGCTGTGGAAGAGTCACAGCACTATTTTATTCCTGCTGTGTTGCACTTTCAGAGAAGCTATTCAACTGGGTAAAGAACCTCCCTGTCTTAGAACTGTTTTTATTATTACATTTAAGAAGCCTTTATCAAATCAACAGGAGTATCGTGGCTTTGCATCAAGTTAAAAATATCCCATGATAAGAAAATTTCACAGCTTCAAAGGACAACAGTAAGTTTCTATGATCTCTTAATGACCACAATGACAGATATGAGGAAAATGGTAATACAGGAAAAAATGGCAACAACATACTTAATTTACATCAATGCCCATGTAGATAGCTAAAATGAATTTCAAAGACAAACCTCATTATGTTATTCAAAGTTATATATAATCTCTTATGATAGAGAATAGGAGAAATTTGCGTTTCTACTTTATACTACAATCTCTTACACAGTATTTCAAACAGTCTTGCTGAGAGAAATTCTTTCTCTCCTTAAGAAAACATAAAGCTGAAAGGAAATCAAAACAGTAATCTTAAAAATGAAAACAAAAACAACTCAACAACCTAGATAGCTATGGTGACTGGATAGCAGAGTTGAACTTGTTATGTTACAGTCATATGGCCTACTCAAACAACTAAATGACAAGGCGACTGGCTGCAGACAAGAATCATCATTTATCTTTTAGATATTAATCTTTTGAAAGAATAAACTGTCACAAACCAGTTAACGTTTTTGAAAACAAAAGCCGACTTCTGCACAATCCTGCTTCCAATCAAACCTTAAATTACCCACTTAATTATTACTTATCTTTAAAAAAATTACAACCTAACACTTTTCCATTAAGCAGTTGAAACATTTAAAGGTCAGTAAAGCTGAAGTGTAGTTTAGGAAAAACATCAAAATATAAAAACCACATCTTAATGCTAGCAAGCCACAGTTTTTACACCTATCAATTCTATTTATAGTAACAGTAAAAAGAATTAGTTTTCAAAGCAGTAAGCAAGATACAATATTACCTTCTCAAGAAACCAGTTTTTTAAAATTTTATTTTATTTTTTTTCTCAATCCTGAGGACTCTTATAATTAAAATTTCTCAAGACTACATTCCTCACTACTTTTTGAAAATGTTCTCACATTTGTTCTCATAGATAAATAAAAGGTGCTAAGTTCTGTGAAAATGTCTTTTTAATTATGGGCATAATCGCTCTTGACTTGATAAAAATTTGACTCTATCCTTATGCTTATAATAATTTCCTGAGAATACTGAATTGCATTCATCATCACAAAACAACATCTAACTTACAGCAGCTGCGGGGAAGTAGTTAGAAAGCTCAAATGGCTCCTCGGAAATCCAATGACCCAGTTCCAAAGACCATAGTACCTACAAGTGATACAACAAACAGAATATTTATCATAGATTTATTAGGCTCTTAGTGGGCAATAAAACAAGAGTCGCTTAAAAAATATACCCAAAACAAAACAAAACAAACCAAAAAACCAGCAGTGATTCACTCCAGTGATCTGAAATAGATGTCGATACAACAAACAGAATATTTATCATAGATTTATTAGGCTCTTAGTGGGCAATAAAACAAGAGTCGCTTAAAAAATATACCCCAAACAAAACAAAACAAACCAAAAAACCAGCAGTGATTCACTCCAGTGATCTGAAATAGATGTGTTCTCACATACTAAAGTGCCTTCAGAATTTTTATGGTGCATAAATGAAATGAATACTAATAAACACGTGGCTAAGAAGAAAGTCTCATGATGACTAGAAATCTGGGTCATTATCCTAGAGAGGCCAAATATTTGTTTTTTGGGTTTTGTTGGTGGCTGGCCAGTATGTGGATCCAAACCCTTGACATTGGTGTTATAACACCACGCTCTAACCAACCGAGCTAACTGGGGCCTAATATTTAAACATCACTCTGTTTTTAAATAAATGAAATACTATATGTATATTTTTAAATTCCGAGTTTCCAATTTATGAAGTCATTTATAAACTATCTTCCATAACTACTACAGGATTTTATTAATTAAAAAAAGTAAAAATAAAGTAGAGAAGACAGATCACAAGCCTAAATTCAAAAAGGAATATTTTTGGCTTGTGATTTTTGTTTCTAGCACTGGTTAATACTTTCAGAAGAGGTCCTCCATATTTGGAAGAGTAAAATGTCTAATAAACAGTCTTTCATTATTGTTATTATCATTATTATCATCACCATCACCATTATATTATTATTGTCTGAATCCACACATTTTTAAATGATCAAAATGATATTTTCATTTTTAATTCAACAATTTTTGAGATTCTGCATCATCTCTATTCTGTGACCAAACTCCCTGAGAATCTGTATGTTTTTACACACCAATAGAATTTTAGCTAAAATAATCAAACTGAATTACATAACTCATGTTTATTTTTTAACAGCAATTTTATTTCTTACATTCAGTGCATCTTTTTTTTTTTTTTTTCCTAGAGTTGATGCCTGAGGCTTAAGTTTTTTTTGCTTAATGACCAGGTATGAAGCCAAGTCTTCCTTTTCCGGTAGTTTCTAAGGTTCAGTACCATCTACGGGATATCAGCCTTAAATATTTCCTTTCTTACATGTTAAAGCTAGTACTTATCCAACACGAGATTTTTTTTTTTCCCTAAGCAACTTTTCTTTCCTATGAAAATGTGAGCAAAATGGAAAAAATAAAGACAGAACAGGATATAGAATTCAAATGATAATTCTCAGCACTGGCTTGGTTCTAACTTTAAACGGATGTATTTATTCAGCAACTACTTCTTTCTGCTCCATTATCCATGCACCTGTGAACTAGTTATTGACAGCCCACCATGGATAAGAATCCAAGCTAGGTCCTGGAACCACAGCCCCAAACCTAGAGGAGTCCACCTCTGGTGGGAGGTAGGAACGATGGTTTCTCTCAAACAGTGCTACAACACCTATAGGAGGAAGCAAAGGACTCAACCTAGGAGAACCAAAAAAAGGTGCTTGGGTGAGCTGACATTTCAAGCTGGGTCTTAAATGATGAGTAAAGGTTCACCAGGCAAAGAGAAAGACATTGAGAAGGGGAGAGTTTTTTTTTTTTTTTTTTTTTTTTTTTTGCTAGAGTAGAGTGTGAATTGCTTGGGTCCAGATGGTGAGATATAGTTTCTATGTAAGTGTGATGAGTGGCATTACCACATGGTAAAAACAGTGTTGGGCATGGGAGTGTTTAAGACAAATTAGATGAAACAGCACAAACAGCTCTGAGGGCATTAGCCCAAATAAAACAGGAATGGAGGATTATGCAGGAAAACCTGTCTCTATCAGAGAGAGAAAAATAGCAAGGTGTGATCTCAGGAACTCTGTTCAGTATACCTATTCAACCTTCAATTAGGTCTTTGTGCACAGGAGCATTTTGTCATTCAGTTCTCTTTTTGTTTTCCCTTAATTCTTACTGCCTAAACAACATTACCCTCCTCCAAAAGATGTATCTTAATAAGTTCAATAAAAGAAGGTATTAGAAAATTGGTAACTCTACACTGAAATCATGTTTCTATCTGGCCCTTTATGGGTGGTTAAAAACACTTAAGTAACAAAATATTTACGTTATTTTTACCAATCAATGTATGTTATCATTTACAGAAATAGACTATTAATATGTGTGATTCATTACAAGCTTATGTAATTAGCCCAGGAAATAAGAAGTAAAAAGCTTCAAAATCAGGCTCATTGCAGACATGAGGCAATGTTAAAAAATATTACGGTGAGAAACACAATGTACCAGTGAGAGAAGCCAGAGAACCAATTTGAAAAGTGTGTGGCACTTGAGTTCAAATAAAATCCACATTAAAATGTCAACTGAATTTAAACAACATCATGAAGAAAGTTTATGTTCCCTAAGTTTGTCCTTTTCCAAATGTTAAGAAAATATAACCATAAGGCAGCTAAAGTAGAATTTTGGTAAGTAAATTAATAAATTTAACGTACGTAGGCATCCCAAGAATTAATATTGTATAGAGATAGCAGAAAACACTAATTTAATTGTACTAAAATCTTCAAATTAGAAATATAGTATAAACTTTTTGCTTTATTACTTTCATTAGCCAAACTTATCTTTACATTAGTAGTGTTCAAAATAGGGAAAGTCGGGCTGTTCGGTTAGTTCACTTGGGAGAGCATGGTGCTGTTAATAACAAGGTCATGCGTTTTGGATCCCTGTACCGGCCAGCTGCCAGAAAAAAAAAAAAAAAAAAAGGGACTGGGACAACAGCTTTCTGTGGACCTGAAGAAAACCAGTTTCGAGCGGAAAACAACCAAAGGGCTCATTTGAGTAGTGTCTCCAAGAAAAGTAAATGGAATGGAAAAAGTCTCTGACGTGTAGACAGATTTTAAAGAAGAACCCTTTGGGGTATTTTTGCAATGGATTAGTGATATGTACATAGAAAACTAAACAATCAGAATAATTGTCAGTTATTAACTCAGGAAAAATAAACAAAAAATTACCAGAAATGCAATAGAATCACAGTGCATTAAATGGGTTAGTACACAGCGTTCACATAGTACTCTGCTGTACGGCCAACTTAAAACAGAAGGTTGACCCAAAACACGTCCATAAAGTACTTGATAAAACAAAAATTGAGAAGATAAATAAAACAAGGAATGAGGAAGATCAAATCCTATGTATACAGCCTATAAAAGAAAGACAGTTATTTCAGCATTCACTGCAACAGAAATTCAGCATCTTGTATGTAACACATTACATAATGAAAATGATATTTTTGACATTTAAAAATTATCATTCATAAAATCCAAAACTCCTTAATAATTTCAAATAAGTACCATTTTTTTTGCTTTATTATTAGATTAATTGCTACTGAAGAGACAATTTTCCATAATGTAAGTCTGACTATGCAGTTAATTTCATACCATGCAAAATACAGATAGTCTTTTTTTCGTTTTATATATATTTAATCATTTTCTTGAACAACGTGAGGCAGTGTGGCTATAGTGAACCTGTCATAAAACGGTACTGTCCCTAAGTGCAAGTGGAGAACTGCACCACACACGATGCAGAAAGTGAAGCAATGCATGGTTAAACAGCACAATGGTCGCTTGCTTATTTCCACCATCTCCCAATACTCGATGGAAATAATGGGATCAAGAGGAAGGAGGAAGAGTCCACAGTAGATAAAATATGGTATCCCCAGACGGATAAATGATAACTGACTTAGAAGTGCTGAAACTTAAGTGTGTAGAGAAGGAAATCAATAGAAAACATCCAATTCCCTCTGCAAATTCCCAGAAAGTACTAGATACCTCTGAAAATGGGGGTGTAGAATAGGCAAAAAGGAGCAAATTGCCTACCCCTAGCCCCACACTCCTCTGGAAGGAACAAGACAAAAGTAAAATTAGAAGGAATTTTCTGAGAGCAATCACGAGAAACCAGTGAACACATGCTCCAAGTCAGCCCTTGCCCCACAGCCAAACATGGGACCCTTGGGCAGAAGCCTGGCCAGTCTTTTCTGGGGACACCTGTGAGCCCAGGAGGAAAAACAAAAAAAGACATACAAACCCTAACACTTGGACCTCCCTCCGTCTAATTTCTCCATCCACATCAGATAATATCTGCTCCACTCAGATAAAGTGTCTACCAGCTTCTCAGTGGCTCTTGATTGACATGATTTTATACCAACTTGAGAAAAGCCTCTAGCATGAAAACACAGACCAAACCAAATCAAAGAGTCCCTGAGAATCAAGGTGATGGGAAGCCCTGGGACAACAGCTTTCTGTGGACCTGAAGAAAACCAGTTTCGAGCGGAAAACAACCAAAGGGCTCATTTGAGTAGTGTCTCCAAGAAAAGTAAATGGAATGGAAAAAGTCTCTGACGTGTAGACAGATTTTAAAGAAGAACCCTTTGGGGTATTTTTGCAATGGATTAGTGATATGTACATAGAAAACTAAACAATCAGAATAATTGTCAGTTATTAACTCAGGAAAAATAAACAAAAAATTACCAGAAATGCAATAGAATCACAGTGCATTAAATGGGTTAGTACACAGCGTTCACATAGTACTCATATATGTGTGCACATATGTATATGTACATGCACATATAAAATGTTAAACACAAAATTATACCCATTTTGTATAGATGGAGCAGGGCAAGTGCTGGGAGAGGTGAAAGACAGCTACACACTCACACTTTAATCTTCTAGAAGAAAATCTACAGACAACATCAAAAGGTGAAAAATCAAAAAATGTAAGAAAAAGCATTTATTTAGACATATGTAGGTAAATATTAGAAGCAACAGCTAAAGTAATTGGTAATAGTTGCCTCTGAGGAGTGAGACTCAGGGCTGAGAAACAGTAGTCAGAGAGTGTTGT